GCGATGCACCCACAGATCGTGGCCCATGAAGTTGGCTAGAATTTCAAGCTGATGTTCCTTTAATGCAAGAATTTGTGATGCAGTTGCTACATGTTTATGGAGTTTGGTGGACCGGATGCTGGATGCATTGTCAAGGCCAGCCCTATCTTCATATGCCCTTAAACAGCCACTCCCTCGTATGTGGCCTCTCCCGCCATAACAACACCGTGCGAACTAGAAGTTGTTGTCTTGGGCTACTCCAGCTTTATGTCTCTTGGCGACAAGGGCATTCAACCATGCTACTGCCTCATTGCTTAGAAGCACGAGAACAGTTCTGCCTCTCTTGCTGACTATTTCGACAACACGGAACATCTTGCACAGCTGGCGTTCTAAATCACTCAACAGGCATTCCCCTTCCAGTTTCTCGGTGCTGTGCTTGTGGAAATCTTCAAGTTTCATCTTTGAAAACTCCCCCTGCCTTCTTCGGTTGAACATGATGAGGTGGCACAGACTGACCTCATTCAATTTCTGCCAAACTGGCCTGATTTGTCTGCCCCGAGCACCCTGCAGGAGTTGAAGTTCCCAGTTGCCAGCTTCATGAAGGAACGACGACAGGTGGACTACATCGGCATTTGTCGGGAGAATGGTAACTTTGGTGAAGCTGGCAATATCGTGGATGGCCTTCACAGTATCAGAAAGGTGGTGCGGATGGACAAATGATTCGAGTGATACATTTGGTTGCCAGGTGTTCTTTCTGAGTTGTATGATGAGTCAACCCAATTCATGTACCTGTTACGGATGTAGCCATGCTAATCTACATTGTGCCCTAGTTTCATGTATTCACGCTCGGCTAATTCAACAATCAACGTGTCATTCTTGACTACCAAAGCCACCTCATCTCTCTTCATTGGACAAAGAACGCCAACAGGAGGTTTCAACAAATCACTCCACCCACATGAGCCCTCTTACCGATGCTGTCAGTCTGTGTAGTGGGTGCTGGCTTCAAAGGGCACATGTGTCGCCACAAATCAGTATGCACATGACAACCGTACCAATATACGCATGGTCCATATGCATGGGGAGATACCTTGTAATTTGGCCTGTACCCAGTAATGAGCACACCACGGTGATCGCGATGACTTCTCTTTGTTCCTTGTGACATGACTGGAGATGACGGGGGAGCTTGGCCTGAGGTACATAGCAGTAAATGCAGAAGTGTTTCTTGTCCCATTTCCTGCAGCCAACCTCATTACTGGTTTGCATTATGGTCACACTACAGTTCTCCTGGACGTCAGACGTGTCATCACTTGGAGCAACAGATGTAGTAGGCCTACTGCTGGAACCGGTGGACGAATCAGCCATACTGTCCAAACTCTCCACTTACGGTGGACGGGCCAGCTGGCAAGAAAACCAATTGAACATTATTTTCATTACACAGCCTGTCTTCTTTTAATTTGGTATGGACTGGTGGTGGTGGTGGGGGGGGGAAAGCAGGTATCGGGGCTCCAAAGAGACACATCCACCCAAACCCCCTTCAAAAAAACCCATTTTGAACACAATTAGGCCTAGAACCACCACATACTGACAACAGAAAAGTCTTGACTTGTGGCTGGAAAAATGTGCTGCAGGAACCTGTTCAACTGGATTATGTGACTGACCTTTTTGGACTGCATGCGTATACCTATTCCACTGGCACATTCACTCTAACAGGGGTATAAGATCTACATTAGCCTGTCAACAACATGGGGGGGGGGTGATAGCAGCCGTACTTTAACCACGTTTTAACTAGTAGTATTGTTCTAGCCAGCACTGGGACCATGAATTTAATGATGTAGTAAACCGTACCAAGATAGGGTCTGGTCATGCTCAACATTCTACTTCAAATTAAATCGTTTTTACTCACCATATTTTCCACTCGAAGAAATCTACATCTCAGAACGGCTACAGAAGTCCACAGGTGTGATGGCAAAGTGACGCTATGATGCTTTTGGACAGTTTGGAGGCTTTTAAATTTGTTAGGGTTATGCGTCCCCTGCACTTGACGACATTTATTGTGCTCAGCAAGAGAGCTGCTAGAGAGGGCGCTATTCCATCCAGGGATGTGCCGAAACTGTCCATTTAGAGCGGGTGTTTTTAAATTAAATTAAATTAAATGTTAAATGAGTACACCTTAAATACACTTAAATTGCCAGACATTTGTTTCTTTCAAATCTAATTCACCAATAACAGACTTTTTGGGGCACTATTGCATCATTCAGCATGGGGGGAGGATGTGGGAAGATCAACGCTTCAGGCCTGATGCATAATAATTTAGGGGGCACCCAGTAAATAAAGTCCCACTGTGGCAGGTGATAAATTCCTCTACTTCAAACATCTTTTAACAAAACTCACAACTCTAACAGGTGTTCAGTCTGCATAGAAAAATGCTGATCAGCATGTCATGATTCAGTTTTCTTTCAATTTTCAGTTGGTTAATGACCTTTGGGGAAATTCTCACCCGGAGCAGACCACCCCTAAAATGGAGGATATTTTTTTTAAAAGAATCCTTCTGCAAAACGGCTAAACAGTGCCACATCCAAATTGCTCAGCAAAGGAAGCTCTAATTCCAGGTAAGAGGTTCAGTGCCTTATTTCTTCAACTCCCTAACTGATGACGGATGAAAACTAGTTATGCGAGCTAACCTCAGGATTCGTCTTTGAACATCTGGAGGAGTTGTTCAAAAGTCCAGACTTGACCCCAGTCCTAGACACCATAGTGAGTGGTGGAGATAGGCAGTGCGAAATAGCTAACCTTCAGGAGAATCCACCTCGGATTTAGGTACACTTTCACCGGAAATATAAAGAAACAGCTTGGCAAAAACTTTTACTTCATGTATGGGGCCTGTGAATGTCCTCAATTGAAACACAAATAGGTCACGTGTGCATAAAAATGCATATGAGCCTGTGTGCACATTTGTGAGTGGTAAATTCCCATCAAAGGGACCATCGTTGCTGAGTACACCCTCTCTTGTTCCTGATTGGCATGGATTGACTTCATGTGTGAACAAAAGTATCTTAAGACAGGTGAGGGAACAGTATTCTGAGTACATGTATTTCTTTCGGAAGATGTTTAAAGTGATCAGACAAATACATGAGTTTTGACTTTCACTCCAACTTATACATTACCATTCATCTGTGAGTATAAAAATGCATTGGTTCGCCAATGTCAATAAATCCTTGTGTCAACAAACCCAGTCTTGTTAATGTTTATTAAACAGGGTCTGTGCTTATCAAAGTTTAGCCAGGCTTCCCTCCTACATGTATGTACACACAATGCATTAAGAACCCACAGGGAAGGTGAAGAAACCAATCTTAAAAGTTTAACCAGTCTAGCGGTGACTGCACTTTACTGCTGGGGAGGTTCCAATCTCGGCTTCACTTCTGACTTTGTTTCAAACATGATTAGTGACATTGCAGGCCTGTTACAAAGTTAAAATAGCTCTAAAAATAGCGCAAAAGTGCACAGTTCAATATTGCTCAAGAAAAGTACAACTGTTTCAGAGCTGAACTCACAAAAATCAGGGGTAAAAGTAAAGGACTAAATGGCAATTTCAAACTCACCCAGTATAGCAAAATTTCATAGCTACTGCACAAAAGGTCACTTACTACGGTGTATACATGTATACAGCTATTGTTTTGTACTACATTCATTACTTTTGCATAATAAGCAACCATTCATTCACTTTTTCAAAGGAAAAACAAAGTTGAAAGAAAATCAAAAGTTTATTTGTTTAATCAGTATTTATTAGCAGAGCACAAATATTTAACCCATTTTTTGTAATATGTGAGGATTTATGAGAGCTAAGGTGTGTCCTTCATTCTATTTCAGAGAATAATCCCAAATGAAAGAATAAACCCAAATGGGAGGAAGAAACAGAAAGATACATTTCTTACCATCATGACCTATTCCATAGAAATGTGTACACGTACACATACAAAGAAATATGTTCATGTATATGTTTTAACTGCCAACTTTTTCATTTTAGATTTCATTTAATGCAATCATATTACATCAGGTACCTGCACTTGGAAAATTTGTGAAGAATCCCAAAAAATAGGTCCTTGGGCTGTGTTCAATAATTTGGTCATAGTTTGCATAAGAAAAAAAAACAAGGTGAACTCTTTGTTTTAATGTGTCAATCAGTTTGGCATCCTGATGAAAAACAACAGTCAGTGTGGGTGTGACTCTAACAACTTGCGCTGAGTTTGTTGGGTTGGGTCACATGAATACTGTAAATATGTTTTTCCTTCACAGACGACCTACATTTTGTATTGCTGACCACACTTCTCCTTCATTAACACAATCTGATTCAGTTTGTCAGTGTGTGTGGGAAATATACAAGTACTGAATTTCAAACATCAGTGAAAACAATCTCATTATTAAAACTGGAAACAAAGCTTGAGTCAATACTCCCTTTCCATTTCATACTTGCCCAAATAAATATTGGAACTGGACAGGGCCAGTCAAACATATTACTAAGTTTACGAAAAATATTACAAAAGCAAGATATGAATTTTCTTTCAATACTAAAAAACTGACTAATACATGTATTTCAGAGAATGTTTCAGAAAAACCAACATACATCTCTTCTCTTCTGATTTAAAATCAGATTTACCCAGTACAGGACAGAGGTCATAAACATTATATTTGTTTAATTTGTTAGAACAGTAGCAAATGCATCTTAAAACAAAGTCATCCCCTATTATGTGTCAAGTATTCATTCAGATCGACCTTTGAATGCAATAAAATACACAATACATTTATCTATGTACATAATTAATACAGGTGATTCACAGTAGTCCCCCTCCAAGTGTTTGCAATGCCTCGGACAATCATAATGAAAGCGCGAAATCTGTCAACCCTTTCAAAATGTGCATTGGGTCAACAGATTTCATGCATTGCAATTGGCCAATGCGTTGCAAACTCTTGGAGGCATGCTCTTGTGAAACACCCATATTCAGGATACATTTCCAGAGGACTTTCAGGCAGCTGTTTTAAGCACACAGATTTGGAAAGCACTGACTTTTTTTTCCCTTTTTACCGGTCAAAGTCATGTTCATGCACATGTTTATGTACGTAAAGTGGGCACTGAATACAAAGTAGAGAATAGTGCTAACTACAGTGTACCTTATGCACCAGGCTTTAGTACATCATCAATAATTTTTCTGATTTAAATTTCAGATATGTGTGATCATTGTTCATTGTGATTAAACAAGCAATACGTTGATGAAACAAAGAGTCAGGGGACTAGAACTACGAGGCCAGATTTGAACCGCCATCATGCCCAAGGTCAAAAGCTCTGTCTTGAGCTGTGACTATGAGACTGCTGACGTCTCAGACTGCATCTTAGTGAAACTGCTTGATCTGTACTCTTCATGTCACAGAATCCCAGCAAAGCCCAGAAACGCCACTGCCTCTGCCAAAGTTGAATGGCTGGGACGGCCCACAGTTACCAGTACTTGCACCAGTGATGAGTGGACTTTACTTCCTAAGACGATTGGACAAATACGCAACAGCAACTCAAATCGCCAGCAAGGACAAAATCATGCAGTTGTTGGAATGCTGTGATGACGGCTTTCATAACATGCATAAATATGTCACACGCCCTGCTGGGGACATCTTAACAGATAAGGATGAAGCACAAGTCCTTGCAACTATGAGAAAGCTGGCTGTACATGAGGAGAACCCAATGGTTTGCTCACATAGCACTAGGACAGAGACGAACCAATCAGATCAGTAGCTGCCAGAATCTGAGGTCAAGCCAGTATATGCCACTTCTCAGAGGCAAGCCCTAATTGCAACACAAGAGTAGACTACACAGATTCCATCCTCAGACATGTTCTGTCCCCCAACTGGCTGACCCGGAAATCCAACTGAACTTCCTTGGAGATCCAAACCAGGCCATGACCCTCGAACAGGTAGTCCAGTTTGTCGAATCCAAGGAGACAGGCAAATGGTCCGCCCAACACCTCCATCAACCGCAGACATCCCAAACTGCCAGCAGTGCCTACAGGAAGGCATGGAGACTTGAACACAAGCGCAGCGACACAGAAGTATGTGGCTATTGTGGCAACAATGACCATGGAGTGAAAGCATCACCATGAGTAAGGAAGTCTGAATGCCCCACTTACAACCACACCTGTACCCACTGCAAGTGCCTGTACCACTTTGACTACATGTGCTGAAGTAAAGACAAACTGAAATGGTGGCAACCCCAAAAGACATCCCAATCACCAAATACCCTGAAGATTGAAGATGAGGTCCAGATATACAACAAAACAAAGCCTACTTACCTTGCAACTGATTGGTCAAACTCAGGAATTGGTTTCTGATTACTGCAAAAGCACTGTGACTGCTGGAGCACAATGCCATTTTGTTGCCGCACGGGATAGAAGATTACCTTAATAGCTGGCAGCCAGTTTACTCATGCAGCTGAGTCACGCCATTTCTCAATAGAGGGTGAAGCCCTTGCAGTTGCAGATGCCCTGGACATGGCGATATTCTTTGCAGTGGGCTTTCATGACCAGATAGTAGGTGCAGATCACAAGCCTCTTGAAAATCTTCATGAACCGCTCACTAGATGCCATCTCCAACACTAGACTCTGCCACATCAAGGAACAGACACTATGTTACTGCTTCCACATTGTACATGTCCCAGGTGTGACGCACAAGGCTTCAGATGCTGTGTCCTGCCATCCAGTTAGCCCCAACTTCCAGACATGCTACATCTGCACGTACATGTAGCAATGCTGGCCAACTTCCGACAGCTCCCCCAATTGGTGACAAATGCATTTTATTCTTCAACAAGACATCAGATCCTCAAACATAGCCTCCCTTGACCAGCTTCAGTCCAACACTTGAGATCAGATGCATTTGCTTACATCTTTCATCAAGTCTGGCTTCCCATGGCGCCACCATGAACTGCTTCCTCTGCTATGTGAATATTACCAGTTCCGTGGGCACTTATACATAGTCAATGGTGTCAATCTTTACAAGGATCAGGTAGTGACACCACCCAGCCTTCGTGCTGATGTCCTCTCAGCCCTCCACACTGCCCACCAATGGGCAGCTGCTATGATGGCAAGAGCTGAATCATCTGTGCTCTGGCCTTGCATCACCATGGCGATCATCGAGACTCACCCATCTTGTAATCACTGCAACCACATGGTACCATCACAACCTACCGGTAGTGCCCCTGCAACCCCTCCAGTACTACCCATGTACCCTTTCCAGAGCATATGCTCTAATGTCTTCAGCTACCAAGGTCCCAACTATCTAGTCATTGTCAACAGGGTATTCTAATTGGCCCATAGTAAAGAGGAGCTCCAATGGTACAAAAGGCCTCATTGACATTCTCCACTGAACCTTTATGATATATGGTGATCCTCCCTGATGAGCTGTCATCTGACGGTGGTCCTGAATTCACCTCCTGTTCCTGAAAGCTTGGGGTGTGGCATCAGCCTCGAACTCTTCTGTTGCCTTTCCACAGAGCAACTGCACGACAGAAGCAGGGGTAAAGACAGTCAAGCACTTACTGACAGACAACACAGGCTCCACAAGACAACTACACACTGTCACTCCAATGTGCCATCCTTTCATACAGAAACACCCCTGACCCAGACACGAAAATCTCTCTAGCTACGTGTGTGTTCGGCAGACCAATTAGGGATTTCATTACCATCCCTCCAGGAAGGTACCTTCCTTACGTCAAATGGAGGAAAATGTTGGCAACCAGGGAAAAGGCACCGTCTCCCACCCTTGATCATGAAAATTCAGAACCAAACTGGCCATCACCCAAACAAGTCGGACAAAACTGTCACTGAGGTTTGTCAATTTGATCAATATGTCATTTCTGTCAATGGTTCTGGCCTTTGTAATTGCAAATTCCTCAGGAAGTTCACTCCATACCAGAGCCTCCCACCTCGATGCACCCTGATGGACGATAGGTGACGCCAGCCCAACATACCCTCAGTGGCACCACGTCCACCCTTGGTCTAAGTTCCCACCAATGCCTCAGCGCAGCCTACTGTGGGACACTGCGGTGACCAACCTACCCTACCCCCATGCCTCAGCCAACCACACCGACTCATTCTCCTTCATTCCCCTACACCACCAATGCTGCAGTGCCCTCCACCTACAGCACCACACTCTAGGGGTTCCCCCAGCCCTACACCTGGCATGTCATCAGAAGATACAGGAAAGCATGGAAACATGGAGAGGTCACCATGCCCAGAGCTGCCTTGTGATGATGGATCCCGTGATCGACCGCTTCCTCGGATGCTGGCTAGGCTTCAACAAACCTGGGCACAATGAGGCACCTGCCAATTCATCAACAGCAGACCCTGAACCTTTTCCAGCTTTTCACCCTGCAACTCAAACTTCACAGCACCATTCCACAAAGCACAAGTGAAAAGGACACTACATCAATGCAACGCAATGACAATGCAAACGCGTGCATTTAGGTGTTCTGCATTTTGAAGAGTTGTTTAACGTTTTATCAGTGTTTTGGCATTCTAAATACTTTTTTGAATTTTACGAGTTGTTTTGCATTTTGTGATTAATTCTACTTTTGGACAGCTACCACCAGATCTACCATTGGTACATCCTTCAAAACCATCATCATGGAATACTAACTTTATGTTATCAGTCTCCTCAGCCTTTTGCTCTTCCGATAAGTGTCTACTTGGACTGGTGGACACAATATACAAAGGCTTCCATAAACTTGGGGGGGATAGAAAACAGTGCCAACCACAGCCTACCTTTTTCACTGGGCTTTAGTATAGCATGGTTTTGATTTATTTTTAGATATGTGTGATCATATTGTTAATTGTGATTAAACAAGTGATCCATTGATGAAACAAAGAGTCACAAACATTGAAACACAAACCGCATTAATACAAATTCTGGTTTAAAGCAACTATGGCCTCAACTTTGCTATATATGTAGATGTACATTTATAGTATGTGCACAGTGTATGAGACTGGCTGTCCTGATACAAAATTTTGGTACAAGTAACATTCTGGAGAGTAATATTTTCGCTTGTTCTAGCAGTGTTCATGTTAAGGACAGTCAACTGTATTTGGTCAGTGCCAACCTCATTGCAAAGTACACAAATTTGTGAAGCAATGTTCCAAATGTCAGCAGCTCCACAACACTGGCACATGCTCTCCGTCCAGATAGAAGGTAGTGCAAACAATACTGTTTTTTAAACTGAACAATTACGTTTGAAGGTTGTCCTTCAGTAATATTTCATTGCTGCTGAGTGTTTCACCTTATTTTGAGTAAAAATATGTCTAGAGCAGTATGTGGCTGTTTTATTCACAATGGTTGAATTAAAAAACATATTAACATAATCCAGGTATATTGGTTGTACAAGCACACCCCTGGTGACCTAATTATTAAATCTGAAAGTCAGAACATCAGTGACAGGTAACATTTATAGATACAAACAAAACCCAATACGGCATGAGATCATGAAATAATACTTGACATGTTGACATTAAACATACTGTTCCACTGATATCTATTCTGAATTTTTATTTCAATGGCTGTCAAGTTTTCTCTTGAGATTTCAACAACATTTTCACATGTGCTCCTTAATCTTGCAAGTCTAGAACTTGCTAGTCTTCCTTGGACATACCTGAAAACCATTCCAATTTAATCAGAACTGTTTCGATATTTAAGTTTTAATACAGCGAAAAAAAGAGGGTGCTATCTGCTTCATAAAAATGGCAGTTATTATGTGTGTACATGAACATACACTGTCAATACATGTAGCTTTTTTCGCACAGCTGCATATTTTGCCATTTAAAAAAATGGGCCCTTGGTTTGTGATATGGTCATTTCAATTTCCGACCACCTAATGTTCGCAGGTACACTAAGTCTTTTAAACACAAATGGCGAAGACAAATCCGTCAAAGTGCTGTTTTAATTTTCAATAAATAGTCACTGTGGAACAGAAATCAAGTTCTGCTCAGTTGAGAGTCGAAAGACTGAATGCTTAGAATTAACAGGTAAGACCTGAAAAGATAAAGGAAAATCAGGTTACCTAATCTAGTTGCTGGCTGGTCATGTATCGAAGACTGATTCATCTTCAGAATCAGTGCCCACATGACCCAGGAGTCGGAAACTGATTGGCTGCATACGACGTGCCTTCAGCAGCAGTTTTCTCCGCCGGGTACCGATGAAAAGGACGATGACCATGGCAATAGCAATGACGACCGCAAGCAGTGAGGCACACACAACCAAAATCCAGCCTAATACAAAGTAAATATTAGTGAAAAGACGTATAAAACAACAAACTCTTGATTTTGAAACACAGTGATTCTTCAAAAATGGGCCCTTGGTTTGTGCATTCATTCATGCTCTGAAACTATTTTCTGTGCCAACCCTTTACAGATTCCACTTTGCCATTGTTTGGGGTAAATGCGCTAATCCATATGCTGTCTTGAGGTCTCTGGTATATGTAATCGGTCTGATAATTGGGATGGATCACTGTAAGAAAATAGACAAATTATGTTTTCCACACAATTGTCAGTGAGCAAGGGAAACTGAAGTCAGGTGCAAACATGGAAAACAAATGCTCCAGTAGATCTTAAACGTAATTGCTCATGCTTTGTTTACTTTCCTACGGATGGCGTCCCACCTCACTGCTACAGGAACATGTACACAAAGTGTGACATCATACAAGTCTAGTTGAAATGGTTGTTCTGTAGTGAAGCCTTTGATGAGGAATGGAAATGAGTGCAAGCGGAAAGTCATTTTCAGAGTTAGCCCTTCCATGGGTGGAAAGATATGGTAGATTGCGGGCATTTTACAGTGAAATAAGAGTCTTTATTACAAATGACTAGAAATGAAGGCAAATGGTATTTGGAAGTGGTGCAGAAACTACGGGTAGGTTGGAATGAAAAAAAAAACCTTGAAAAATAACACCACTCTCTTTCTCTGTTGGGCTTAACCCCTCAGCACCGGGGAGCCCAGTGCTGGAGCCGCTGGCAGTATATACATGGCAAAGGGGCCTGAAATCGGATAAAAGGAACTGGGCCTTTTAACAAAAGACCTAGCTCAGAACAGCACAGAGTGCTGGCATTAATGGAGGTAATCAGTCATTGTTTTGAAACAGCATATCACTGTTTGCGGCTTTCAGCGCCCATGGATTATCAGAGGGGACAAAAGTGCTCCAGCACTCCAGCAATGAACAATATAATACCACTGCATGCTAATCTGGCCGCATCTGTAAAGACACCAATGCCATTCAGCAATGCACTGGGCCGATTTCGGAAACAAAGGAAATTACACAACACTGCCCAACTGTGGGCTCTCTTATTGGGTGGCAGACCTGGCTGCAATACCTGGGTATCAATGAAGGTTACCTGTCACATTATAGTAGCCATCAGACAGTCATTTGTGTGGGTGTAAGTGTCCAGTAAATGAGGTTATGAATTTTCGGAAGAATTTTGAAAACAGAAATCATGAAAAATCAATCAGCAAGTCATCCCACAGGTGCAAACTCCACTCGGCAGGAAGTGGTTAATCAAGTTCACGTTCATTTTTGGGGTGGGGGCTGTGCTGGTGAATTGAGAAAATTTTCGAGACAGTAGGCGAACCATGCTGGAATCGGGTAGAATCATAGCAGCACCGTGCAGTACTCTGACCCATTTGTCTGCAGCACATCAATGGCCCACTGTTGGCCGCATGCCAATTGTGACTCCTTAACATGTTGAGCATTTGGGTCCTACATTGTGAGAGATGATAAATACACTAGAGTTTTCCCATCTGCCAAATTCCTTGCAATGAAATTTCTTGTCGTTAATTACCCTCTATTTCTTATTGGAAACTCAATTGTAACATCTGAAGGATCAACACCGATTAGAAACTCCTTCCGTGGAGTGTTTATTTCTTCTTCCAAAAAGTCTTCCGCCTGACCAATGTCGCATTTTAATCTTCAAGATCAAAGCAAACTGTGGTGGAAAAAATAGGCCTACTTCATCACATATTACAAAAATTTGCTAACCTAAACAATGCAGCCCTTAGCCCGACATTAATTCTTCCTTTACCAAAACTCAAAATGCAAATAACTGTCGAAGCATCTGAAAATTCCCATTAGCCAGCTTTTAAAAAATTCCCCAAATCCCACAAACCTTGGCAGTGTAAACTCCCATAAAATCAGTGATACGAAGTTATTTAAAGTCAAACATTTCCGGGGTTTGCCAACTTAACTTGCTGGCAAGATCGGCAATGGCATCAGAACAGGAGGAGATCAGTGCTCATGCATGTTTCTAATAGTACTGCATGCATCGAGATGAGTAATAGTCCTGAATGCATCGACCGCTCTCCACTGGTGCACGGACATGTGGCTGTGGGCAGACTGCAAGCATTTCTTTGCGGATGCTTCATGTTCAAATCTGTGAGATATGCACTATTTGCTCTACCAAACAGAAATCTTTGACTACTTTCATCCCTCATTTCTGCCATAAAGGAAAGAAATTCTACTCAACCTGTTGAGTGAATTGGAGGTCAAATGAGCATTCTCAAAGGAACAAAGTAGCTTTAGATTTGTTCAACAGCGAACAGGCACAAATGCTGCGAATATGTGGCACGCGAGCAGTCCAACTTTTGATGAAATTTACAATCAAAAGATTGAGAAAACTATAATAGTTCAACGGAAAAATTGAAAGTCGGCGGGCTACGTAGATTGATAATCTTTTCCCATAAATGGTGTGCTTCCACGAAGTTCAATTTCCAATTTAAAAATCTGTAATGATAATGAATCTTTTATGTTTCCGATGCAATAAAAGGGGATAATTTTTAATGAAACGTGTTTAGGAAACAACTTACAAGTGCATTGTGCAAGTAATCTCCGGCATGCTGAACATGGCATTTGCACATGTAAAAATTGAAATCAATTCCGAGTGGAATCGCAATTCCTGGACAGAATCGGAATTGATTTCCAAAAATGCCAGAATCACCCAACAATACAAGATAGGCTTAATCATTCGAGGGCAAGGTATTCAATTTTTTTCAGGTTTGCTTTTAATAATCCAGGTTCAGAAAATTCACATTCTTTCCTCTTTGGCATCAGGTATGCCATCATGGCAACATGCAGAAAATCTAACACCACCACATGAATGCAGAAAATCTAACACCACCACATGCACCACTTTGTTACACATTAGTATAACTAGTGCAAAAAGAGGATGATTAATACAGTGAATGTGAGCAAACAAGATGCAGTTAAAGCTTACTGTGTTCTACATTAAAATCGTTAGTTTTCAGATGAAAAAACCCAACAGCAATCATGCTCCTGTTTTTTTTTTTTTTTTATAGCAAGTTTTTGCATTTCCACTCCGCAATGGCAAAATGAGACTGAGAACAGAAAGGTTGGATCGACAGAAAATAGACTCTCACATGAGCTGGCTACACGTTGGGACCGGTGGGGGTGGCAAACACACGGAGCTTGAAGTTGTTGTTAAGGTTACGCAGGAATTTACAGCCCTTCCGAATGCTGGCCAGAAGGACAACAATTGTGAGCAAGGACAGGACCAACAACCACTGGAAAGCCCGGCCACTGGCCGAGAAAGTTAAAAAGCCTGCAAAAGATTGACACAAAATGCGTGTAATTGTCACGATAAATTCTTTTGTCACGATAAATTCTTTGCCATCTCTACCCTTTCCCATTTTCCCTTCTACCCTTTAAGAAAGTGTTAAATTGCAGAGAATAGGAACAGTTCACGATAGCGTGCACCGCAAAAATTAATCAAATCAAGTAAAAAATCTAACCAAAATCAGGTTCCAAATCGATGGTTGATACCAATTACATACACTGGATATTTTTGGTGAGCTGTAAATACAAATTTCTGTCTGTCAGGCCATTCGACCACCTGTCTGCTATTGAAGTTTTTGCTTGTGGGTGTTAATATGGGTAACAGTATGCCTAAATTGTACTTGTTTCTTTCAATCTTGAGTTTTGTTAGTATCAGAACTTTATAATGTGGGATTACAGAAATTGAACTCCCAAATGTTAAAGTTGATTGCTACATGTAAAAACTGTACCCCGATTTGTACTGAATGCACACATGTACAATGCACGTAGGTCTGTGTGCAATGATGGGGTTGGGGGAAGAGAGGAAAATACATGAGATGATGGGGTACGGGTGGAGTGGAAGATGCATGGGATGATGAGGTGAAGGGCTGGAGTGGAAAATTGATGAGATGAGGGGCTAAAGTGGAAGATGAGTGGTGAAATGGGAGTGTAATAGGAGATGGATGGGACAAGATGGGAGGGGGGTGGAGTAGGAGATGAATGGGATGATGAGATGGAAGGGAGTGGAGGAGGTGGGTGGTTTGATGGTATGGGGGTGGAGTAACAGATGGATGGGATGATGAGATGG